TCCGCGCTCTAATAGTCAGCGGCCAGAGACCCTGATAATGAGGATCATCTCAAGCATCTCAACGCTCAATCCGCTCGCAAAATACAGAAAATTGGCACTCAAATCTTAAATTTGTTGCGTGACTATGCTGCATTCCATTGCCTGGTTGAACGCCTTGTAAAAGGTGCAATCGCGACAGCGCATCTTGCAAAGCAACTTGAGGAAGATCTAAACAACACTTAAAGCAGTTGAACAAGCGCGACGAGAGCGTCAAAATGTACGCCGCAGGGTTTATCAGTCAGGAGGCGTCTTATATGCCCATCAACCGCGTCGGATTTCTAAGAAACGGATGAGGATGAGGTTCAAAAAGCGACGGAGGCGTTAGAGCGGGCTCAAGAGCGGGATCTTCGAAGAGGCAAAAAGTTAGCAAAACGACTTGCGATTGATTGCAAAAAGCACAGGAAGGTTCTTATAGATAGATGGAAGGCTTCTTGTATTGAGAATCAATAAATTTGTATTGTTGTGGTGTTGATATTTGCAATCGATTTTTTATAATATAGAAATCTTGGCGTTGAGATGTACTATGACGTTGAGGTGTCAGCCAGTCTCCGCGTCACGTGTCTGGATCATAAAATTAGTTACTGAGACGCAGTATAAGAGAGCGGCCTGCTCATAGCTTTGAAACTTGCTTCTCTATTCACCCAGTCCTCAATCCTCCTGTGACTGCGTCATTTTTGTTTTTATTATCCATCATGGAAAAAATACGTATGCATGATGCCAATTATATACAGTGGAACCTGGCACAACACTGTAAAGGGGACATTCATGATGCGTTTACATGGGATCTATAATTGTCACATTCTATCTCTTTTGACTGCTTATTCCTTCATTTCCTTCCGACTAGGCATAGTGCAGAAGCTGTTCCTATAGGATCCTAAAATCCTCCATGTACCTTCGAACGATGTGTCCGAGCTCTTTGAACTGACCTAAAACTTGTATTACAATCTGTGCACCACCAATGAGCATCTGTATCATGCTGACGAAGAGCAGATCTGTCAACAAAGGATCTTTTACAGACGCCACAATAATTTTCTCGGGTAGGCCGACTGCGACTCTTATGACTCGAAGCTAATGGGGAAAGGGACACGCCCGTTGTGGGTATAACTGGCACCTGATCGGCAGCTTGTTCGTCACTAAAGTGAATTCGACTCAGGTTGATGCTCAAATTGGACATAGAAAAGCACCTGCCTTTACTTACCATTGTTGTTGAAACGGAAGCGCTTTCTCCATAGTCAGCACCAAGAAATCGTATGCAAAATCCGGATAAGCCTTTAATACAGTATGGAATTGCTGCTGAGTTTGAGAACAGGAAGGTGTTGAAGGGCGAATTTGGTTACCACACCCCGTAGTTCTGAATTTGTAGGGCTGGTAGGACCATAAACAAATTCAACCACTGAAATGAATGTCAAATCTTGCCAATCACTTTCAAGAGCTAGTTTAAACTTTTCCTTTGCGAGTTCCTTTAGTTCCGTAATGCCATATTTGTCGGCAATGACATACATCTGGGCATTAATATGTGCGCGGTTCCCCTGCTCAAATGTGTTTGAGTTTTTTTGGATGGAGGAGGTGCGACACTCTTTCGTGCTTTCTTCTTGCCTCAAAATTTCATCTTGATTGTCTGTGCAGGTGATTTCAAAAGGGCTCGATGCTGAGCCATCTTCATAGTTCGCTTCATATAGGTAATGCAACATCTTCTCGACAATTGACGGATCGTCATCGTGAAGGGTGATTGTTCGCGAGGAGGCTTCCTATCAATGATGAGCAGGAAACTCAGATCCATAATAAAACATACATACTTGAAATGGTCCATCCAGGGCCTTACAAAAGAACTTCGACTGAGGACAGATGATACAGCAATGGACTCTGAAGATCTTTGACCCGCAAATTAATGTGAGATCAGAGAATGAACCGCTTTCGAGAATGCTGGAACGTATATTAGCACTTGAAAAGTGTGGGAACGTATCCAAACATTACTTAGAAAGCACTTTTTTGAGTGAGTCCATGTTGGATGTCATTTTCCCTCTTTTCAAAACTCTGCACAAACGACCATATACTGCTTGTTTTCTCCAGCAGTCCAACATATCAGCAGTGGGAAAATAGTGCTACTTGTACTCTGTACAACCATAAAGGACCCCGAGAGTCTCCGCAGTGGCTGACGCAATGCCCGCAGTGTGATTCAAACGGCCCAACGCTGGTAGATCGGGCCACATACCCCTGTCGTTTATGATGCATCCCTGGCGCTCAGTGGGGACCAGATGGAGCTAATGACTCATCAAATACAGAGCCTAGTTAGATGTCCTGCTCATTGCATCCACCAGAGGTCGAGGGAACTGATATAATTTCTTGTGATTGATCGCTGCAGTCCGCTGTCTGATCTGAATTTAGACTCCAATGTTCTGTCTCAACAAAACTCCGTCTGTTGATCGCCCCGGCTGTGACCAATCCACTTATCAAGGATGGCTTCCACAATGGTTCTAAGCGGATTATACTGCTTCCATCCACTATCTTCTGATGTTCTCTCTCATCCTTGAGTTTCCCCTGTCCTGGAAATACTGCTATCCACGTGTCGCTTGCTGTTTTGCCTCAACTGACGTGGCACCAGCCGTTTCTTCCATGCGGGCTTTGTAATCCTTATGCAGCTTCCGGAACTGGTGTCGTTCGCAAAGATGCAGACAACGTCAGCAAAGAGGAAGAGCAACCGAGCGTAGATGAAACGGAGGACTTCATTCGCGGATGAGGCGCTCCACAAAATTGGGTGTACAGTCCCCTGCTGTGCCATGGACTCGCGCCAGGGACCGGGTGTTCTGAGGGGATCGCTGTCGGCGAAGAGGAGTGGCGCAGTAGATGCCGATGAGGATACATCGCACCTCAAACTAACACAGGCATCTGATTGACTCCTTTTGATGTTATTCTGCGGAAACAGACTACGTAAGGCTTCGTTCTTTTGCCTGCCGCCTAGGAACAGCGACAGGACAGGGTACTGTCCATCCGGCTGAGTCAACTCCCCAACCACATGAGCGAGAGACCCCAAATCCCGGATGATGAACGCGCCGTCTTTGCCGGTGCCCACATCGAGCCAACACGCATGCTGTCGGCGAGACATGGTGTGCTGCTGCGGGAAATCAATGCGGCGCTTGCGTCAGGGTAGTGGACCAATTTATCTAAAGCATCATAACGACATTGGGAGCGCGCCCCTGAGTCGAAATCGGAACGCGTTCTGTATCGTTTTGGGACCGGCATCTACAGCCCTTCTGAAAACCGTTGGTCCCCTGATAAATTTGAGCTCAACCCACTAGGCATCCGCGGTCGCTGTCTACTTGGTCTATTTCTGGAGTGACCACTTGCTTTAGCATGATAAGGCCACCTGGAACCGTTGGGTGGTTGCCTCATAATCCATGGCAAACCTGTCGACGCATGCAGGAACGAAGGGCAAATGCATGGATCAATCTTGAATTGCAATCCGTGTTCCCCGGCTTAGCGAGAGCATAGCATGCAGTTCATTGGTTCCATTCCGCGCGTCTGGATTCGCTTGGGCAGGGGTTATCCAACCGCTCCGGGTCACTAGACGACGAAGCAAAGAGGTTGCGCGGCAAGCTTACATGCAGCTATACCCTGTCTTGACGAACCCTTGTCACTGCGGCAATCTAAGGTACAGTAAATGTCTAAACAAATAGGCTCCCTGGTAAAGCTCTTCTCTGAAAACGGTGCAAGCAATCGGCCTCCCATGTTGGACGGTCATCCTTCCCCATCGAGTTTGGTTCTTCCAGCCCCTATCTGTGAATGCAGCATCGTTTAGGATCACAAGAACTAGTACTCTCATCCACTTGAGCCGCTCGTTTGCGCAGCTGGACTCCACTGGCGGCATTGCGGTCACAGTTGACCACATCAGCTAATATGTTGCTAATATCTTTCATCCACGATTCTATCCGCTTCTTGTTTCGCTTTCTCTTCCCTCCATCTTGGACAGCTCACTGCGAGCTATTAGTCTGAGCCCGCTATTTCTCAGTTCCAGGAAACAATACCTAGATAATTTTTTAACCCTATCAAAATTGTCAGATAGTGACATCAGCCGGAGATCCTCGGAGACAGCTTACGCCTCTTCTAGATTTTGCACTTTCTCATTCAACTGGGCCAAGCTGAGCTCCATTTTAGCATGCACTGGGGTATCGGGCACCGTGGTCTCCGACGACAAAAGCGGCAAATCAATCTCTCTCTCCGGAATGTTGAGACTTGGTCCATCAATTGGAGGGCTGACCGGAGTCTGTAAGGTCGGAATAAGAGCAGAGACATCAAGACCCTCGCATATCCAGTCATCATTGTTGGTAAAAGTAGTCCAGAAGGAATCTTTCTCGTCAGGAAACTGATCAGGTGCTGGAGCAAACGAATCCATGGTGAAAAGACCATCGAGGCTTGCTTTAGAAAAGCGACTTGTCTTAGTTGGCAGAAGGGATGCCTCAAGACACAAAATTGGGAACGGATATGGACAAATCTCGTTAAGTGAGTTGCGAGAATACTTGTCCGCATATGCTGTCCAGACCGGAAAGAGAAAGCTTGAAGACAATAGTTCCCAGAGCCGGGCAAAGCGCCATATTGCTGGTTGAGAACCTTATGATGTTATAGTTCGTATTTTAGCAATGGCCGTTCAACTGCGGTCTTTGTCTTCTGGCCAGGCGCCAAATGTCTTCCTAATGCCGCGAGATCCTAACATACCAGGCATCAAGACAAAAGGAACAATCACTGGGTTTGGCGTGGCCCTCGAACACAATTTAGTGCTGGATAAAATAATGGCTATTGTCGTTCGTCCCTCCTATGGATGGTTCCTAAGTGAAATCAGAACGGGCTCGCAGTCAAAGACCGGCTCCCACCCAGACCGGAATACAATTCTCCAAATTTTAAAGTGATTCAGTTCCTCGTTTTCCTCTTGTTGCAGATACCTCATCGAAAAAAAGTTCTACCAGCAATAGAAAGACCCAGCACCAAATGATACGTGCCAGGATATTGCAGACCATTCAGCAGAGATCCCGAACCTTGAGCAGTTCATTCAAAATGAGCTACGCAATGCATACTCTGCAATACAAAAGCAAGACACGGAAAAATCAGAGCCACAGCAATCTGAGGGCCAAGGCACAGTCTCCAGATGTCCTTCAGACGTGCATCAACTAATTCGGACGCGACGTGACCTCTTTTGGGAAGATGCAGGAGACTTTCTTAGACACCGATTTTCGATTGGAGATATTGCTATATCGAGCCTGCCAGCTGACGGCGAGATGTGAAGATACGAACTGCCATTCGGTTGCGACTTTTGTGGATTCTTCAATACGAACGATTCCTACGTACGGTGGAAGTGGTCCGGGAAGAGCGATTTGATGGAGAATATCGACCCAGACGGAGATATCGTGACGAGACGCAAGCGTGAGATAGGATTCTCCGCAAGGAACAGGAGTGGCGACGATTATTAGACAGAGCAGACCTGAAAGTCCTTGATATCTGGAGGATGCTAACAGAGTGGAAAGCTTGATTGATGTAAGCAGCATGTCAACTGAATTTGCTTGTTGTGCATTACGTATGGCCCGCAGCAAAGTATCGATAGAAAAGAGCTTTGCCTCATTGAGGTCTTACCCATACTGCTGTGATTTAGTGATCTGTCCTTAGCTCCGTTCTAAATAATAATAATAATGCAGGATCTCGTCCCAGAGGGTATTTTATGACCGAAAACCAAACGACACGTGCAATCTACTAGCCATTGCAGGGTCATACAGCTGCTAGAGCGGATATAGGTTTAGACCCTTGGGCACGGGTAGCCAAATCACTGGTCAGATTGCGCCAAATTTCCAGTGCGACACAGTTGGACTCTGGTTGCCAAGGGAGAATCCGCAGTTGAGCGCATACTGATAGCAACCTGTAGGCAAGACTACAGGCTTGACTAAGAAGTCGAAGATCCCTGTCACGAACTCAAGGGAATGGCAGATTGAAAGATGCGCCCTTTGCTGTTGGGGCAAACTCGGATATTACGCGGCTTGCCTGTTGCCAAGCATGGACCTGAAACATGCGCCGCTTGACAAGCTCCTTCTCTCGGTCGGGCATTTCGACCACCATTTGTTGAATCTCTCTATCACCTCTTCCGTCCATTCATCTTCCCCCCCCCCTCTCCCCCGGGCTCCAAGCGCCGGGGCAGTTCTCATTTGATGTCGCTTTCTCCCCTCCAAGATGTCTCTCTCAAGGGCAGAGGTCATCAGAACGAAACCCATCGGAGGGGGGCTGGACAAGTTTCGTGACTCTTTTAAGTCAACATGTCAAGACCTAGGGCTCCCTGATTCTTCCAGTGCTCTAAGACAACTTGAGAACGAAGGTAATATTCACGGGCAGATCTCAGAATCTTGTTAACTACGTGCAGTTATCCAAAACCTCGCCCTTGACCTAGTATCCGCATTTCGAGCCCTTCCTGCCTTACGTGTCTTGCCCTCTGTTAGCGGGAGGAAGAATCTATTTAGTGACCTTCTGAGACTCAATTCAGCAATCAGCTCAGATGACTTCAACGTCGAACAACTCGTCCCTTTGCTTACTGTGGTTCTCAACAATGAACCTGATGAGGTCATTTGGGATCACGTCTACAATGCCGTTACCGAACACACTCCCCCCCCGCGGTCGCTGCCCTTCCTCGGTCAAACACCATATCTACATAATACCAGCAGTTTCGTCAATTCCTCGGAACACCGCAAATATGTGGACGCTGTACTGAAGGAGGAACTTGGGTCTCTCTTCGTTGGCGTGCCCGACTTTTATAAGGCTTTCTTTGGAGACATAGAAAATCTTGAAGAGGCAGGAATCGCTGTCTTTCGAAGATGTAAAGAAGGAGACAGTCCCATATACAGTGACGAGGCGGGCTGGCGTGACTGGCCAGAACATGCGACCCAAAATGAAGTCTTACAGTGGCTCACAAGTCAAGTCAATTTGTTCCGTGACTTGGCTGAAGAACAGGGTTTTACCACAAACACTGATCGAAGGATCTGGGCGCGGCCTAATCAGCCACTTCAAGGATCTACGGCCGAACGCAAGCTAGATGTCGGCTTCATCGGCGGACAGGACACCGATGGTTCTAACCACCACTGGTCGCATATCCTAGTTCCTGGGGAGCTGAAGAGTAATCCAGATCTTGACACTGCCTCCAGAACATGGCTCGATCTGGGGAGATATGTGAGAGAGATGTTCGCTGCACAAGACAGTCGTCGCTTTATTGTGGGTTTTACTCTCTGTGGATCCATCATGCGGCTTTGGGAGTTTGACCGTGCTGGAGGTATTGCATCCTTGCCATTCGACATCAACAAAGACGGACAGCAGTTTGTATCGGTAGTCTTGGGATGTCTCTGGATGAATGATGAACAGCTTGGATTTGATCCCACCATCAGATCTTCAGAGGGAAAACGGTTTATTGAGATCGTTCGTGACGGCCACCCGGAACGCCTCATTCTTGATGGGCTCATGAAGCGGGCCCCTTGCGTCGCTGGACGAGCAACAACCTGCTGGAAGGCCCATCGTGAAGGGGATGAATCGAAAACCCCTCTCGTCATTAAAGATTCGTGGCAGTACCCCGAGAGAGGGGAGGAAGGTTTACTTCTGCGGGAAGCGACGGAAAAAGGGGTTGTTAACATGGCAAGATACTACCACCATGAGACAGTACGGATTGGCGATAAAGTTGACGATATCTGCGATAATGTCCGCAAGGGGTTGGATATGGCAAAGGCGACAAATTTTAGGCATTCAGTTTCTGATGTATCCCAACGAGCAAGTGAAGCTGGCGACGCAGTGAGGAAGGGCCGCACCACCGATATTAGCAGTGTCGGACGGAAGAGGTCATCCAGCCGTGCTGATGCGCCACTCCCACCGAGCAAACGCACGTGCTCGAGCTCCCCAACCAAAGGTGGGCGAGGGCATATTATTCAAAACAGAGTTCACCGTCGCGTTATTATTTGTGACTATGGGAAGCCAATATACAGAGCGAGCTCTCGCGTTGCCATGCTTGTTGCGCTTGAGGACTGTATTGAAGGTACGTAATCATGTTGATCATTAGTATCGGTGTTGACCGGTGTAGGTTATGAGTCTTTACACATGAAAGCGGGGATGCTTCAAGGTGACATTTCTACCGGAAATTTGATGATGGGAGAGAACGGAAGGGGGTTTTTGATCGACTTAGATCTTGCGATCAAGGAGCAACGCGAACAGCCCTCCGGAGCACGAGGCAAGACCGGTACGAGAGCATTTATGGCGATAGGGCTTTTGCTTGAGGAGAAGCATTCTTTCATGCATGATCTAGAGTCGTTCTTCTGGGTTCTCTTTTGGATATGCATCCATTATAACGGCCCGAACGAGGGTAGCAGAGTCGTTGCGGAATTCGACAAGTGGAACTATGTGACGATGAAAGAGTTGGCCAAGTTGAAACTGGGGACTGTATCAGACGAGGATATATTCAACAGCACTGCACAGGAAAATTTTACGCCATATTACGAGCCATTGATCCCGTGGGTCAATAGGATGCGCAAAGTGGTGTTTCCAAATGGCGGACCATGGAAGGTAGAAGATAAAGGCATATATGCCAGGATAAAAGCCATCTTTCGGGACGCGCGGAGAGATCCAAGGATATTGGAAAGGTGAAGCCCTTATCAGAGTGCTGGTGCCTAACGCACAATAGCTTTACCATGACTTGATTCCACAGCATAATCTTCGGAAGGCAATTTGTGAATGGAAGAAGATCAAAAGCTCTCTTTCTAATCCGAAGGAAAAAGGAGCTTCAGAACTTTTTGCTTTTACCAATGATGTCACAAGGAAACCTAGTCTCTTTCGTAAGACTTGCGAGTGACCTTCCCCCTTCGACTATGTTGGACCCTCTTCCTCGGATGGAATTCTTCGATTGACCTGGTAGCTCCTCTCCTTTCCCTGGCCGTGCTCTGCACTTCCACCGAGTCTGGTTACTGATCAGTGGTGATCTGTCACTCCAGACCTGCCTTCTCTCTCCACCTTACAGCGACCTCGTGGTGAGTAGCCCTGGAAACAACCCAGCAACCTTCTACCCTGTTTCCATGGACCCTCTTTTCTCATCCTCTTATCAGGACCGTGTCATCGCTGAATGTCTCGGGCTGGCAGCACCATGTCTACCCCCACTGGTTCCCGCCTCCCTGCCGCTGCCAGCTCATCCCTCTTCTTGGCTCGTCGCCCAGAGCAGCACACCATCATTGACTGGCAGCGCGAGCGCGAGCAGCGGCTCAACGCGACTGCCGCCGAGGAGCGCCGCCTGCGGCGGCTGATGTTCTGTTATTTCAGCTTTCGCATACAGCACATGCTTTTCAGCTCTTTCTTCTCTGTCTGTAACTGGTCTTTTACGTTTACACACTAGATTAGGATAGTTACCTCTTAAGCTATTAAAGAGTTGTTTTGAATTAATCCGTAACTGGTTAATCTTGGCGAGTAACCTTAGCCAACCGAGATCCCCGCAGCTAGCTGGGCAACTTTCAAAGGTTCCATGCCCCGACTTAACGGTTCCTTGTTCTTGAAAGCTTGTTTGAGTTGATTCTCGCTCCCATTATTACAGCTTGTTTGTCTTTAAGAGGGCCTTATATCCTATCCTCGCCTTCCTATCTACCTAGGCACTACCGGCCAGATCCTCACCCACGCTCCCCTCGGAAATGGATTTCGACCACCTTGCAGAGCAGCGGTCGGATAAAGTTTTCCAGGTATGGTTACAGAATTTGATCAGAAATTCACCAGAAGAACTGGCCGGTCAGCTTGCAGCTAAGCACCGGCCTGGGACACCAACCACGGCTTCACTGTTTTCGAATGGTGCTTTCAATGTCTGTTACCGGGTCACCTTCCAAGACGGCTTTCGCGTCTTGGTTCGATTTACTGCCCTCGGTCGAGTCGTTTTTCGCAATGAAAAGCTAGAAGATGAGGTGGCAATCATGAATTATCTTGCTCAGAATACAGCAATCCCTGTTCCAAAGGTTCTAGGTTCTGGCAAATGTGCAGTTGGCCCCTATATCGTCATGACCATTATTGAAGGGACTCCCTTGTCTAGATATCTCAGGGACCCACTTAAAGGGACAATTACTTTGAACCCTAAGATTTCTGAGTCTGACTTGAAAAGGGCTTATTATGGCATGGCTCAGATCATGCTTGAGCTGGCAAAACCAGCATTTCCCTTTATTGGAGCCCTGGGGCAGAACGAGTTAGGAGCTTGGACTGTGAAGAAGCGACCACTCAACTTCAATATGAATCGGCTCGCTCAATTCTCAAACATCCCGCCTGGTATATTTGCAAAACAACGCTTTACCAATGCGGCCGATTACTTCGAGGAGCTTGCCAAACAACACCTATATCATCTTGAGCATCAACGCAATGATGCAGTTACAGATGAGGCTGACTGCCGGAAGAAATACATTGCTCGCTGTCTTTTTCGCAAGATATCGCGGGAAGTATCCAAGGAACACTGCAATGGCCCTTTCCGACTCTTTTGTGATGATCTTCGGCCCGATAACGTTCTTGTTGATACGTCAAGATCAATTGTCACTGGAGTTATTGATTGGGAGTTTACATACGCTGCCCCAGCTGAATTCATCTATACCGCGCCATGGTGGCTATTGTTGGAGCGCCCGGAGGAATGGGAGCCGGATCTTAACCAATTTTTAGTGCGCTATATCCCAAAATTGCGCATTTTTTTGGAGGCCCTTCGAGAGTGTGAGACTGCAAAAATCAACGAGGGTTCCTTATCAGATTCGCAACGTCTATCAGGGGCTATGGAAAACTCGATGGAGAATGGGCTATTCTGGGTCTGTCTTGCCGCAAGACACAGCTCTATGTTCGACGAAATCTACTGGACCTTTATCGATCGAAAGTACTATGGGCCTTTTACCACAATCCAGGATCGAATGGATCTTCTAAATGAAGAAGAGCGGGTGAATCTTGATGGCTTTGTTCAGAAGAAAATGCAGCAGGCGAGGGAGGGCAATTTGGTGTCCCATCAGACCGTTGATGAGATGCTTAATCTCTAGGATGCCGTGCCCCTGTTTCCTGTTATGGAAGATTCCATGCCAAAGGCTTGATGTCTGTTTTACTGCTTGATCGTTGAGAAACTTATGGAATTCATTCCAGCCCTCACAAGGATGCCAGCAGTCGTAGTGTTGATTACGACAACAGGTCTAGCCGCAAGCCTGCGAGAAAGAGACAGATTTGTGGCTTTGACTGGTTTCACAACGCATGCTAGGCTATATAAAGAATTCACATAGTGTCTTTCGTCAATCAAGCATCCTTCTCTATGCCGTTGTGCTCTTCCTTGGCAGACTACTTGCCTGTGTTATGTTTCCGGAGACTCGCCTGGGCTGCCTGGGACATGAGCTCCTTCTCAACAGGGGAGAGCTTTTCGATAGCATCTTGCGTCTCCAGAGCTGTCTGCAGAGCTTTCTTCAGCTCTTCGCCTTGTTCTGCAGAGGGTACAGCTCC